GAGCCAGGGTGTGACAGTACCCCCCCCCAAAGGCGCGGACTGCGACCGCGCCTCCACATGAACCAAACAGGGGGGGGCTGGGTGGGCATTCCTCCTCGGAGGCGGTTCCGGCTCCGGGCTTGCCCACCACCCTCCAATAATCCCCCCGTAGCGCCCCTGGTCCGGTCTGGCCCCGCTAGCTGGAGCTGGACTGGACATCGTAGGAGCGGATTGCTTAAGCTCCGGTGTGGAGCAGCTGACCGGTACCTGACCAGGCACCGGTGACCCAGGCACGGGTTGTGCCGGACTGACGACGCACACCCCTGGCTTGGTGCGTGGAGCATGAACGGGCCGGACCGGGCTGACGATGCGCACCCCTGGCTTGGTGCGTGGAGCAGCAACGGGCAGAGCCATGCTCTACCAACTGAGCTAAATAGGTCACAACTCTTTCTACAATCTAGCCCTAATGGTGATGTGATTAGTGATCTAATTAGAAACAAGCATACCATGTTACATAACTGCCTCCACAAATGCAACACTGTGTAAGTCCCAAATGTCACCCTATTCCCTAGGGCCCATAGGGATCTGGTCAAAAGTAGTGGACTATATATGGAATAGAATGACTATTGGGACCCACACATATTGTGTGTGATATCAAGAGCTCTTTTCATATGATGTCATTCCATTAGGTTATCAAAAACATTATAGGTGAGTTGTTCATTGCCTTCAGTCTTAACAAACAAAGAACAAGCATTCCTTTCCTTTAATCAAAATATGATCATTTTTATCCTCGACAGGCAAAGGTGTTACAAACAGCCGCAAATACACTACATGACCAAAAGTATGCTCATCGAACATCTCATTCCAAAATCATGGCCATTAATATGGAGTTGGTCCCCCCTTTGCTGCTATACCAGCCTCCACTCTTCTGGGAAGGCTTTCCACTAGATGTTGGAACATTGCTGCGGGGACTTGCTTCCATTCAGCCACAAGAGCATTAGTGAGGTTGGGCACTGAGGTTGGGCGATTAGGCCTGGCTCGCAGTCGGCGTTCCAGTTCATCCCAAAGGTGTTCGATGGGGTTGAGGTCAGGGCTCTGTGCAGGCCAGTCAAGTTCTTCCACACCGATCTCGACAAACCATTTCTGTATGGACCTCGCTTTGTGCACGGGGGCATTGTCATGCTGAAACAGGAAAGGGCCTTCCCCAAACTGTTGCCACAAAGTTGGAAGCACCGAATTGTCTAGAATGACATTGTATGCTGTAGCGTTAAGATTTCCCTTCACTGGAACTAAGGGGCATTGCCCGAACCATGAAAAACAGCCCCAGACCATTATTCCTCCTCCATCAAACTTTTCAGTTGGCACTATGCATTTGGGTTGGTAGCGTTCTCCTGGCATCCGCCAAACCCAGATTCGTCTGTCGGACTGTTAGATGGTGAAGCATGATTCATCACTCCAGAGAACGCGTTTCCACTGCCCCAGAGTCCAATGGCGGCAAGCTTTACACCACTCCAGCCGACATTTGGCATTGCACATGGTGATCTTAGGCTTGTGTGCGGCTGCTCGTCCATGGAAACCCATTTCATGAAGCTCCCGACGAACAGTTATTGTGCTGACATTGCTTCCAGAGGCAGTTTGGAACTCGGTAGTGAGTGTTGCAACCAAGGACAGACGATTTTTCTTCAGCACTCGGCGGTTCCGTTCTGTGAGCTTGTATAAGTAAGGCCATTCTACTGCCAATGTTTGTCTATGGAGATTGCATGGCGGTGCGCTCGATTTTATACACCTGTCAGCAACAAGTGTGGCTGAAATAGCTGAATCCCCTCATTTGAAGGGGTGTCCACATACTTTTGTATATATAATGTATTTTCGCAGTGAGTATCTTCATTATCACCATCATCATAAATGGCCATACATATCTTGTCGACTGTTTATGTGATTCAATAAAAATGTAATAAACATTGTACTTTTAGTGGGCTATTCTGAACATGAACAATCAATCCATTCCATTCTATTTTGGTTCCTAGGGCTCCAGAAGCGCTCTGAGGACGGCTGGTTCCTGGAAGGCTATCAGGTCACCCCGAAGGACGAGGAGAGGGGAGACGGCTGTAAGGAGTTCCAGCTAACCCCTCCCACTCACCCTTCCAGACCACCACAACCCGTCCCCCCAGGTGTAGCTCTCCCTTCCACTGGGGCGTATTATGTCTACCCCATGGTGGTCGACGTGGCTGGGAAGAAAATCTATTTGGCTGCCAAGTTCCCAGACATGAGAGGGGTATATCAGTGCACACAGGTACAAGTCGTACCCATGCCTGCTGGGAGCAATGTGCAGCAGTCTGGTAACCTGACAAGGCCTGGGTTCAACCAGTGCTGGGCATCCCTCGGTACTCTTCACTCCCTCCTGAGAGAGGGGAAGAGGAGCTATGCCCCACCTGTAGTGGTGGTGGGCAAGGGTGTGTATCCAATACTAAAAGCTGTTAACTCTGCCAATGATGTCAAAGTGATGCTCAGTCACGGATACTCCAGACCAGTAATAGTGGTCAAACCAGGAACTGTTGTCAGGCTACCAAACTGCGTCGCCTCTGACTCCTCATGCTGGTGGTACTCCTCTAGGCTAGGATGTCATCTGAGACAATTGTTAGCTCAGAGGGCCCTAGGAGGATGTGCCTCACCTGTCACCACCTCAACATCTGTGAACTTCAACTAGCCAACCCTGGTGAATGACCAGCCGTCACTGGGGGTCCTATGTCCCATACTGGCCCTATGAGGAAGCCATCTAATAAAGCCAAACCCTAAGCTTTTTACTTCCCCAACTACCATCAGGGTCCAGTTGATAAGCAGAGAAAATATATAATATCCCAGATACAGAGATATCGTAGTGGCTCCAGCGTTCTTTTATTCAATTAATTACAGTGCATTCGGAAAGTATTCAGACCCCTTGACTTTTTCCAGACTTTTTCTAAAATGGATTAAATTGTTTTTTCCCCCTCATTGATCTATACACAATACCCCATAATGGCAAAGCAAAAACAGGTTTTTAGACATTTTTGCAAATGTATTCAAAATAAAAAAAATACAAACTGAAATACCTTATTTACATAAGTATTCAGACCCTTTGCTATGAGACTTGAAATTGAGCTCAGGTGCATCCTGTTTCCATTGATCATCCTTGAGATGTTTCTACATCTTGATTGGAGTCCACCTGTGGTAAATTCAATTGACTGGACATGATTTGGAAAGGCACACAACTGTCTATATAAGGTCCCACAGTTGACAGTGCATGTCAGAGCAAAAACCAAGCCATGAGGTCGAAGGAATTGTCCGTAGAGCTCCGTGACAGGATTTTGTCGAGGCACAGTTCTGGGGAAGGGTACCAGCACATTTCTGCAGCATTGAAGGTCCCCAAGGACACAGTGGCCTCCATCATTCTTAAATGGAAGAAGTTTGGAACCACCAAGACTCTTCGTAGAGCTGGCCACCCGGCCAAACTGAGCAACAGGGGGAGAAGGGCCTTGGGCAGGGAGGTGACCAAGAACCCGATGGTCACGCAGACAGAGCTCCAGTGTTCCTCTGTGGAGATGAGAGAACCTTCCAGAAGGACAACCATCTCTGCAGCACTCCACCAATCAGGCCTTTATGGTAGAGTGGCCAGACGGAAGCCACTCCTCAGTAAAAGGCACATGACAGCCCGCTTGGAGTTTGACAAAAGGCACCTAAAGGACTCTCAGACCATGAGAAACAAGATTCTCTGGTCTGATGAAACCAAGATTGAACTCTTTGGCCTGAATGCCAAGCGTCACGTCTGGAGGAAACCTGGCACCATCTCTACGGTGAAGCATGGTGGTGGTAGCATCATGCAGTGGGGATGTTTTTCCGCCGCAGGGACTGGGAGACTAGTCAGGATCAAGGGAAAGATGAACGGAGCAAAGTACAGAGAGATCCTTGATGAAAACCTGCTCCAGAGCGCTCAGGACCTCAGACTGGGGCCAAGGTTCACCTTCCAACAGGACAACGACCCGAAGCACACAGCCTCTGAATTTCCTTGAGTGGCCCAGCCAGAGCCCGGACTTGAACCCGATCGAACATCTCTGGAGAGACCTGAAAATAGCTCTGCAGTGATGCTCCCCATCCAACCTGACAGAGCTTGAGAGGATCTGCAGAGAAGAATGGGAGAAACTTGCCAAATACAGGTGTAGCGTCATACCCAAGAAGACTCAAGGCTGTAATCGCTGCCAAAGTACTGAGTAAACGGTCTGAATACTTATGTAAATGGAATATTTCAGTTTTTTTGTTTTATACATTTGCAAACATTTCTAAAAACCTGTTTTTGCTTTGTTATTATGGGGTATTGTGTGTAGATTGATGAGGGGGAAAAAACAATTTAATCAATTTTAGAATAAGGCTGTAACGTAAAAAAATGTGGAAAAAGTCAAGGGGTCTTTAATTTTTTTTAATTTAACTTTTATTTAACTAGGCAAGTCAGTTAAGAACAAATTCTTATTTACAATGACGGCCTACACCGGCCAAACCCGGACGAAGCTGGGCCAAATACTTTCCGAATGCACTGCAGGTGTGTCTCCTGATACTGGCAGGCATATATATGATAGGCTTGTTTCTGTGGCTCTGGGTTTCCTCCAGTTTTTGTATTCAAAAGTATTAATTGTAGCCTTCAAGGTGTCTGCTGTCTGTCAGGAATAAAACATAACATGCATTACTGATTGCTCAATTTTCTTGTGTATACTATATGAACATTATTTTCTTGGTAAATATGTTTTAAGTCACAATGAAGCTCTTTTCAACTTTTGGCTAATAAATAATCTTGTATTATGATTTATGACAAAATAAAACCGTTGTGACGTCATAATGTCTGGCTTTTTAGGCAGGAAGACAGGCGGGAAAATACACCAAACTACGTCACAATTGATGTTGTCCAGTGTAAAAATATCATTGGCTACTCCACTGTCACCGGGGTTCCCTGCCCCAGATTGCAGGGGTTAGAGAATAAAATTGAAGTCTATCGCTTTAAATTCCAATCTCTGATACAGCAGAGATCATAAAGTCTGTCAGTAGAGGGTGGGAAATATTATAAATTACACCTGAAATATTCTTCATATTTCATAGTATAGTCGTTGACGACCAGAATCGTTTATAGTCATACTTATTTATTTAATCACTGTGTTCAATTAGATAGGTATTTCAAAAGGTAAGTTACCTTTTTTAGCTAAACTCTAACGTTAGCTAGCATACTTTCTAGTTAGCCAATGCTTTGTCTAACGATAACATTTTATTTATGGATAGTTAGCTAACTACTGTAGTTGTTCTCGGGGGAAAAGTTAACATTTGAGTTAGTGAAGGTCTTTGTTGGCTCACTGTATGTGTCTTCAATTCATTCCATGTCGACAATTCGAGCTAAAATTGAATAAAAAGTCTTGCTGTTTTAGTCAGGCAGGCATGGTATCATGTGATGGCTAAACTATCTCTGGCTGAACCCCGAATATGACCGTGTTCAATGTATTTTTGTCATTGACTAACTAGTCGGCCTTTGTATTATGTGCAATGCTAACACTAGCACTGGTCTCGACACTATTCCTTGCTAACCAGCTCTGTTCAAGAAAACCCTGCCTACCGGGTTAGGATTCAGGCACTTGCAGGAGCGTGTTAGCCGGTCAGAATAGACCAATGTGCATTGGCTAGTTACAAAGTGATTGGTGCTAGCTGTCTAACGTTTCTTCAATTCATGAAATTGAGCCACATGATTTTGCATGGAAGTGTTGATGCACATTATTACACGAAGAAAAATTGATAGGGGTAAACAAAGTTGTCAGACAAGGTAGCAAACGTTACAGTAGCTAACCGTGTTGAAGAAAAAGCAACGACGCCACAAATCTAGTTTAGCGCCATTAGCTGCCTAACGTTAGCTAACAACGTACCATTTCCACTATAATTTCATTAGTAACCGGTGGGGGGCTTGAACTGTGCATTTTGTTAAAAAAAATAAACTGAAATTACATTGGGGTAATGGTATTTATCAATGCACGAAGTGTTAACGTTGGCTAACTAGGAGCTAGCTAGCAAGTTTGCCCGATTTAGCCTAGCAAACTAGCTACTTCCCCAGCCCAGTTGTAGCAAGCTAACGTTAGCTAGCTAATCCTATTTTACATTAAAAATATGCCACCCTACACTAACTAGTTTGCTAAATACACTTACAAATAAGACGAAGCGTCTTTCAATGCGTTTGGAATTAGTCTACAATTTCTAGTAATATTTGTGGTATGTCTATCTTGGTATCAAGGACAGGGAAATGATTCGACGATGCCACACAAAAATAGACATCCAGCTACGACAGAGGCTGTACCAGGTCGTGGGAGGCCTTCCGCAGTTTCCGTCACAATATGCCTGACCACTATCAAACAAATGAAATTAAGATTAACCTAATTTGTTCATTTGATTAGTAAAATGTGTTTAGATAATCTCTCAACTCTTCTATGAGAACGTCTCGCTGAAGTCGACCTGTGTTTTGAACCCCTCTTTTGTGTCCCCGTGGATAAACGTGATGGCGCAGTTGCACGCTGGTGTGTGATAACAAAGTAGTTAGTTAGCTAACCAACTAGCAACAACAAATATGGATGGGAGACATGAAGGAAACTATGTATCATTATATAATTTGCACTCGATCAACTTGGTGCATTGTGGTTTAAAAGTGAGTTGACCACATTTACTTTGTCTTCATATTCTCTGCTCAACTCATTTCAAAAGAGAAAGTAACGTCTTAATACCCAGTTTCTGTACACAATTTACTATTCGTTCAAATTGGCATGCAAATAACATTCATGAACGACTCATAAGTTGCTCAGTTTTCCATTGGTTCTGGTATTAAGGTTTGATATTGTACATGTTGCCTCAAGAAGGATGAGTTGTCATGGCTTTGTTTTCCTTCTGCAATGCTGACTTGCATTTTCTCAGGTCACTTCAAAGTAGTATTTCATATCACGACTAAAATATGTTTTGTTCATGTTCTGTTTCAGCACTTCATATTGTTTACCAAAGAAATGGTGATGGAGAAGCCAAGTCCCCTGCTTGTAGGGCGGGAGTTTGTGAGGCAGTATTACACACTCTTAAACAAAGCACCCGATTTCCTGCACAGGTACTGACCGATTTTGTGTAGATTGAATAGCCCACAGTATGTGATAACCTTCCATTGCTTTATGTAGACTTGTGCCAGCAGGACTTTGAATGTCTCTGCTTTGTCATGACAGGTTTTATGGAAGGAACTCCTCCTATGTTCACGGCGGACTCGACTCCAACGGGAAGCTGGCGGAGGCGGTGTATGGCCAAGCGGTAAGTGTCAATAACCTAAATCAAAGATACAGATGAAAAGTGCCTGTTTTATAAAAACATAGCACAGTCAAGAGTCCTGACCAGGGATGCTTTCCATGCAAATCTCAAGCAAATTAGATTTTGTAAATATATTTTTTAATGGCCTTCAAATGCTGTGATGTAATAATGCAGGAAATTTGATTCTATTATAAACCACTCCTGGCCTTGTGACCTATTTCTAACTGTACTTCCTTCACCCTACCCAGGAAATCCACAAGAAGGTATTGTCCCTGCAGTTCCAAGAATGCCACACGAAGATCAGACACGTGGACGCCCATGCCACGCTGACTGACGGCGTTGTGGTCCAGGTGCTGGGTGAGCTCTCCAACAACGGCCAGCCCATGAGGAAGTTCATGCAGACCTTTGTGCTCGCTCCAGAGGTGCGTAGTACGGTAGGCTAAAGGGCGGGGCTCACTGCACACACTTAATTAAGCATTGGTTAGTTGGCATTTTTTAATTCTCACTCACTGGGAATTCTGGATTGGAGGCACAAAATGGGAGAATGAGTTGAAATGGAGCCGACTACCTGAGTTGTGTTCAGTAGGGCACAATGTTCAGAAAGTACCTCCCGATTCACTCAGTTTCAAAGCATTCTGTGCCTGCTGAACACAACTCTGCACTTGTCCAATAGGAACACTTGCTTTCCGTTCTCAATACTTTTTTTAGAATACGAAACCCCTCAACTATGAGGAAAATCAAATTTGTGTCAGCTAATGCAGCACAGATACTAATAGCATGTTGTCTGGCTATTTCCACAGGGTTCTGTGGCAAACAAATTCTACGTACACAATGACATCTTCCGCTATGAGGATGAGGTTTTCGGTGACTCTGAGGCTGAACTTGATGAGGGTAAGAAATTCTGCACTTTGTCCAGTTTAAATTATCTTCAATGTAGAATTTGGATGTTGAGTTTATGGTCTGTATACTTGATTTTGTTAATCGATGATACCTCTACCTCAGAATCTGAAGAGGAGGTTGAGGAGGAGCAAGAGGATAGACAGCCGTCCCCAGAGCCACTCCAGGACAGTCCTAACAGCACTACTTACTATGAGCCTCACCCTGTCATGTAAGTCTATGCCATGGAGACTACCATGCCAGTTTGATAAGGATGTTTAGATCAAAGGCGACTAAATGTAGATTAGATGTACTTTATGATTTGTTTAGAGAAATTGACTTTACGTACAGGAAGTGCACTGCATAAAATCAACAACAATAAGTAAACATGGCATACCGTTGGTATATAAACTCACCGGCCAGTTTATTAGGTACGCCCATCTAGTTCCGGGTCGGACCCCTCTTTGCCTCCAGAACAGCCTGAATTCTTCAAGGAATTCTACAAGGTGTCGGAAACGTTCCACTGGGATGTTGGTCCATGCTGACGCAATGGCATCACGCAGTTGCTGCGGATTGTTCGCAGCATGAATGTACCGCCGTCCAGCCCGTTCCATCTCATCCCAGAGATGCTCTATTGGGTTGAGGTCTGGGGACTGCCCAGGTCACTCAAGTAAACTGAACTCGATGTCATGTTCCAGGCGCTGTTTTTCCGCACCTCGATTGTGCAATCTTGGTGACTGTGTGCCCACGAGCCGCTTTTTGTTTTTACCTGATGGGTGTGGAAACCGGTGTGGTCGTCTGCTGCAATAGCTCATCTGTGACCAGGATCAACGAGTTGCGCAGTTCTGCACACCACTGTTGGACTGTGCCGTTATTGGTGTAATTGTGGCTCGCCTGTTAGCTTGCACGATTCTTGCCATTCTTCTTTGACCTCTCTCATCAACGAGCTGTTCTCGCCCACAGGACTGCCGCTGACTGGATGTATTTTGTTTGTGCCACCATTCACGGTAAACCCTAGACACTGTCGTGCCTGAAAAGCCCAGGAGGGCGACCGTTTCTGAGATACTAGATCCGGCCTTGGATACTGGATCATACCACATCTCAAGTCTCTTAGGTCACAAGTTTTGCCCATTCTAATGTTCAATCGAACAGTAGCTGGATGCCTGTCTGCCTGCTTTATATAGCAGGCCACGTGACTCACTGTCTGTAGGAGCGGTCCATTTTCATGAACGGGGTGGGGTACAAAATAAACTGGCCAGTGAGTGTACAGTTGCATCATATTTGTGTCAAGAAGAAATGTGACTGACTCCAATTACATTGAGCTTGTATCTGAGCGTATAATAAGGTACATCTAGGCGACCAGCTGTATAAAACTGGATTGATTTGTGTTCCATTTAGCAATGGTGTTGAGGAGCCCATGGAGGAGCCGGCTCCAGAGCCTGAGCCCGAGCCTGAACCGGAGCCCGAGGTAGAAGAGCTGAAGCCCGACGTGGAGGAGAAGGTGATGGAGGAGCTGGAGGAGAAGGCCCCCTCCCCGGTCCCCGTAGAGTCCCCACCCAACACCCAGGAGGCCCCCAAGGTTGGTCCACTCTCCTGGTGATGTTGCAGTAAAACACATTGATATGATGACTAACATCACAATAACGTTACAATAACATGCAAGTTGCATCTGAAATCGCACTGCTATTCTCTATAGATCGCTGGTCAAAAGTTAACTATAGAGGGAATAGGGTGCCATTTCCGAAATAGCACTATTGTACTGATTACTGTCAAGATATCTGCCTTTCAAAATAATATTGTGCGAGGAAAGTATATTGTACTGTGTTCTACTGATTGGCACGGTTGAATTCTGACTGAATTCCTGGCAGACCTTCTCCTGGGCCTCGGTGACCAGTAAAAACCTGCCTCCTAGCGGTACAGGACCGTCCTCTGGAATCCCCCCCCATGTTGTTAAAGCACCAAGCTCACAGGTAACCCCCCCCCGTGTCATGTGTGTGTCTAGGCTGAGTGTTGTACCAGTGGTCTGTGGTCAAGAAGGTCTCATCTCCTGTGTGTGTCGTGCTCCTTTACAGCCCAGAGTGGAGACCAAGCCTGACACCCAGACGGCCCCTCTCCGGGGACCCCGGGACCAGCGCACCCGCGACAGACCAGCCTTCGTACAGCGAGCACCCAGACCTGGTAAGACCAGTGGGAGCAAATGGCAATTTTATTTTTCTATAGACTCGCTGTCTATACGCTCAATATGCTCTTGTTTTTAGGTCTGCCTATTTCTAAACATGTCACAGGTGCTCACACTTCTGTTCTAGTCTTTATTCTTTACACCTGGGTCAATGTGTGCATGTCTCTGTCACTTAGATGGTGTTGCACCTTCAGAATCACAAACTGGGAAACCCCACTTCAGTTTTGTCAACAAAGGTAATAAAGCTGTGACTTTCTACTAAATGGGCTTTCTTCAGTGTTGGCACAGAGTGATGGTGCAGATGGTAGCTAACGACAGTTGTCCTGACTGCAGGTCGGGGCGAGGCGGACCCCGGTGAGATGGACAGCAGAAGGATTATCCGGTACCCTGACAGCCACCAGCTCTTTGTGGGAAACCTCCCTCACGACATCGACGAGGCAGAGCTCAAGGACTTCTTCATGAGTAAGCGCTCATACACACGGATGGTTATTTAACCGTGCCATTTTTCAGGTTGTTCAAAGTATCAATGGCGATTAAATCAATATAATTGTGTGCATTTGGAATAGTTTACATGAATAAAGATCGTATACCCTTTTTGGTAAGGTGTGACTAACAAGTTCAACTCTAGATGAAAGGAGCAGGAGGAGAGTGTGATTTTCTGTATTTGAAATGGAAAACTCATGTCTTCCTTCAGCTTTTGGTAACGTAGTGGAGCTGAGGATCAACACCAAGGGAGTCGGAGGAAAGCTGCCCAACTTTGGATTCGTGGTCTTCGATGACTCTGACCCTGTCCAGAGAATCCTGGGGGCGAAGGTAGGGGGGGCAAGTACTACCTTTATCATTATCCCCCTCATTCACGCTGGTGTTTTGGTGGCACACGGACTAGTGTTGTATGTCACCACCGTTGGGTTTTCTGCACAGTGTCCTAATCCCCCAATCTGGAGCCCATTTTCCCTTTGTTTGAATATCAACTATATGGGACTGTTGGGTATTCAGGGTTTTTCTGTATCAAAATGGTGCTTAGGTGGCGATGGGTGCGGGAAATTTGAGTGTGTGTATCTATTTTCTACATGCTTATATCTGGTTTTAGTCATTTTAAGTTTACATTGAAAAAGTTTTTCCATCCTGACAATATAAAATGTTTTAACTGTTTGGACATAGGTGGCCTGAACACTTAGGCGGCCTGCCCAATACTTTTCTGTGCAGAAAAAACCCTGGTATTGATATTTCTCTCTTACTGCAATTGTTCTCTATTCAAGAGGTAATACGTTTTGTCCGAAACGATAAACACAATTGAACAATCTAAGATGCAACAATAGGGTTTTATGGTGTGCAAACCAGTGAATGAGGAGGATTGTGAAACGGGTGTTAGAAAAGGGTATTTTCTTAAGGTTCCCAATCACCTGCTAATCCTGTATTAACGGTCCCCTCGTTTCCGTCCTGTAGCCCATCATGTTCCGCGGCGAGGTACGTCTGAACGTAGAGGAGAAGAAGACCAGGGCGGTGCGTGAGCGGGAGGTTCGCGGCGGAGACGACCGCAGAGATATGGGGAGACGCGGCGACAGGGGGCCTGGCGGCCCGCGAGGAGGCGTGGCTGGCAGCGGGATGATGCGTGACGGCAGGGGCCCCCCACCCAGGGGCGGCATGGGGGCTCCCAAGCCCGGCATGGGCTCCGGAAGAGGGGCAGGAGGATCGGCCGAGGGCCGCTTCACCACCCAGCGCCGCTGAGAGCGCCACCTGCAGTTCGGAAGTAGTACCATGTTCTTCATCTTCGACCGTTCTCGTTAACGAAAAAAATCTACATGTATAAACGTATATACTTTTTTTGTTTATTTTCGGTAAAAAAGTATTTCTGGCTTTGGAATGTGACACAACCTGTCAACTATTTCTTCTTTGATGTGACAGACAAAAACAAGCAAATGTAAAATTTGCATTTTCGCTTTACTTAGCTGTGAGCTGAGCGTCCTTTTCCAGTGTTCTCAAGAATTCACAGACATTAATTTGTAAATTTGAGGAAAAGCAACCAGGAGTAATCTGCAACGTTATAGGAGGGACTGATAGACTTTTACCTACGATAATACAGCCCATCATTTGGAATAGAGATTATTACACCTCGACTTACCGGGGCGCTATGTCACGACACCCCTCTTATTGCACATTTTATATGTGGGAGTTCTCTGCCCGTTACTGTTGGAAAAGCATGAGGTGTGAATTTCCTGCTATGGGGGAAAGGTTTGCCTTTCTTTTTTTCTTTTTCAAAGAACACTGCTTAAAACGACAACAAATTGCATAATGCACTCATCAATATGCACTAATGGGTACTTTCGTCATGTTACATTGACATCCTGGGAACGCAGCTGGTTGAGACATCTACTGTTGTCTCAAAGCTAAACGGCGTGACAAGGCAGGCCTCCACTTCAGGCCTGTTTACTGTGACCAATATACTTTTTTATTTTTCTCATCTGACCTGCGAACCAATAACTATGCTTCAATTACTGCTGGAATCCAACAACAAGACACAACAAACCAATCTACAGAATCATTATTTTCCTAAATGAATTTAATAAAAAGCTCAAATTTCCTGGACTTTACCAAACGGGGAAATAAAAGGATGATCCACAGACAGAAACCAAGCTGACCAATAGGAGAGTGGTGGTGATAATGTTGGTGTAGGCTCGCTCACTATTCTTTGTTAATACAAGGTTTGTTTGTTCTTTTTTTCTCTTCCCTACCTTGCCAGAACCGTGAAACTGGGCCCCCCCCCTCTTCTCCCCCCATTCCCTGTCAGAGTACGGAGTAACATAATAAATGTACAGCAAAAATCATAGTTTACTGTATGATTTGGTTTTTATTTTCCTTCAACTTGATTATAAAAGCATGATGGTGCCTTCTATTTCATCTTTCCAGTCTTACTAGTGAGTTGAGGTCATGGTGTCCGGTGTCGCTCCCCTCTTTGGTAAGCGGAGCAGCTCCAGTTGAACTACTATACCTACTGAGGCCAGGAGAATTTGCATTATTCTTCACAGGATTATAACATTTTTCTGCTGCCCATTTCACTCTCCCATATGTACTGTTCAACTACCTAAGATGACGTGCTGCAAGTTTTGTGCGTTTGTTTATAGTATCTGCTCTGGGGGTTTGAAGAGACTAGAGAGACAACGGGTCCCTTAAGTTTTAATGTTAAACGTCCAAGAGATGCATTATTATGTTAAAGAAACGACTCCTTGGAACATACTAGTCATGGTGTGTGATTCTTGGTCAGTCAAGCCTTAACAAACAGGATCAGTTGACGAGTTTGGATCTGCAGTATTGACAAACTGTTTGCTTGGTAACTAACGGACAGTGAAAATGAAATGCACTCTTAAACGAAAGACGTTATATTGCACGGTTCAGACATGGGCTACTAGACAGTTCTGAATCGGTACAGTCAGGCGGAGCATCGTAGTCTTTGTGTCTCGAACGGTGGCACACGGAATAAGCCCTGGACCCAAGCACATCCGACTGTTTCATCAACAAAAACATTTTTCGTTGGCAGCAATTTTTGTAAAATGGTCGTCTTAGGTGTGGTTTAGCCTTAGTGCTAACCTTATCTGGGGTGACACTCGCACTCACTTTTTTTAATCCATTTATGGTTCCATATTTTAAAAGTATGCACGTGTACTGATTTTTCATATTTTTTTGCTTCAATAAGGCAAGTAAAAATAAGAAGTACACTGCCAGTGAAATGGGAAGTTATCTTTTTGTGACTGAATGGGAAGACCTCGGTTTCAACCTGGAATAGAATTGGGGAGGAGAAATGACAAATATTTTTGCAATTCTTTTTTCTTATACTGGTCTTCTTGCACTGAAAAGGGAAGTTCAATCTGATGTAGCGCCTTTTTCAAAATGGCGTACTGAGGTCTTCCTTGTCAGGTTGTATTGCGCTATTTCCAACATTTTCTGGGACAATCTGTCACGGTAAAAACACTTTCCTCATCCTCCCCCGCTATTTAATTTTTGTTAATTTGATTAATTATGAATAATAATTATATTCAGGCAATTATTTTTATTATTTTGGGACGAGATACTATTGGCCAACCATGAAGATAAATACTTGCTCACCCATACAGCTAAAGTGGAAGGTTCAGATCAACTAGGATGACATAGCTCTCATAATAATTCATTTTCTCGTGGAGTGGGCCAGCTTAAAAAGGCCGTCACGCTGGTGTTTCACGTATGTAGTGTTTCCTGAAATGCATGTATTACCTTTGGTTGGAAGGGAGCGATGAGCCGAACACTGGTGTGTGTGATGGGAAGAGGCCATTTTGAAATTGAGCCCCTTTCTCCTGGAACCCAGTGTTGGTCACTGCAGAGCTACACCCCTTAGGCCTCTCATGTTTCCACATATGGACAAGTTTCACAGTTGCCTATATACTCATAACGTGAGTTTCAGAATATGGGTAAGAAAAGAGCACTTGCTGCGATTATACTTTTGCAACGAGGGAGAGGAGAGTCAGTCGAGTGGAAAGCCATCACGCTTTCTGCCTAGTTTTCTGAAGTCAATGCTTTAAAACTCAGTGGCGTTAAAAATAAAAAATTAAACGTTTCTTGTGAGCAGATTTGTACTTTATTGTTTTTGCGCTGAAATTTAAGTTCTACCCCCAAGTTTCAAAGGACCACCTAAACTACAGCAAAGGCTGTAAACTTTTTCCACTGTTGAAAAATGCTGTAGAGTGAATTTAAATGTATATCATTTCAGGCCTCTTCAGTGGAATAGGATTTCCTTCCTGGCTTTAGCAAGTGTGGTATGCTAAACAGTCAGTTGGTTGCCATCTTCATTTACTGTGTTTACCTTCTACTTGTTGCTAGTAGAAACAAATAAATGTGTTGCAGGTGGAGCAAATTTGTTTTAGTTTTCCATTTTGAATGTGTTGGACTTAACATACAATAAACTACTGATATCTGCAACAGTCATCACGGTTGTCATGTTTTAAGGGGCACAGCAGTCAACCAAAGTGTCGTAGAATACAAAGAAAGGAGCCCCAAGATGTTTGATCCTACTTGAGAATATTAGTAAAGCCAGAATTAACGTGGGTCTCAACTATACAGAACAAAAATATAAACGCAACATGTAAAGTGTTGGTTTCATGAGCTGAAATGAAAGATCCCAGAAATGTTCTATACGCACAAAAAGCTTATTTCTCTCAAATGTTGTGCACAAATTTGTTTGCATCCCTGTTAGGGAGCGTTTTTACTTTGCCAAGATAATCCATCCACCTGACAGGTGTGGCATATCAAGAAGGTGATTAAATAGCATAGTCATTACACAGGTGCACCTTGTGCTGGGGAGAATAAAAGGCCACTCTAAAATGTGCAGTTTTGTTACGCAACACGATGCCACAGATGTCTCAAGTTTTGAGGGAGCGTGCAATTGGCATGCTGACTGCAGGAATGTCCACCAGGGCTGTTGCCAGATAATTGAATGTTCATTTCTCTACCATAAACCGCCTCCAACGTTTTAGAGAATTTGGCAGTACGTCCAACCGGCCTCACAACCGTAGACCACGTGTAACCACGCCAGCCCAGGACTTCTACTTCCGGCTTCTTCACCCGGCTCCCCAGTGGGTGGGCCTATGCCCTCCCAGGCCCACCCATGGCTGCGCCCCTACCCAGTCGTGAAATCCATAGATTAGGCCTAATGAGTTAATTTGAATTGACTGATTTCCTTATATGAACTGTAACTCAGTAAAATCTTTGAAATTGTTGCATGTTGCGTTTATATTTTTGTTCAGTAAAGGTGCCACAGCCATAGTCATAATTATGGCTAAACTCTGCCTATTTCTACAATAAAATCTGATTTTAAACCTAACCTTAACAACACTTCTAATTTATAATGAAAGGAACGTTTCTTATTGGCAGTCCATCCCTGTTTCAGTCCCTTTTTCCCCAGTTTGGTGCATAATGAACACCACCCAGTTCCAGCTCCTCCTGTGGTAACTGCCTTGTGTTGATTGCAAAGGCAGCCGAGGTTGACCACACAGGTCTGCGTATTTGTCGACACAGCCATGAAAATCTCAGATAATGAATCCATTAATCATTGTTCATTCTGACTTTATTAAAAGTTGCACTCAGCGAGACTGGCTTTCTTTGCAATGCAGGGTGTAATTTTTATTGTGCAAGCATCGTGATTCTGAAGGTAACATGTTAAACGTATTCATTGAGTGTCATTAAATGGTTGAGCACTGCAGTCCAAAACAACTCAAAGACGGTTTATGAAAAGGAAATGGTTTATTTTTGTCATGTAAGCATATACGCATGATGCTGTGAGTGACCTTTTTAAAAAAACATGATGCTTATCAGCCTCTCTACCGATCTCTTGTCTGGGACAGAAATGGAGTCTTAGCACCAGAAACTCTCAGCCATAGAAATAGAATCTATAGAATGGACACTCCCATTCTATTTATAAATGGTCTCAGGACCCCAATACTTCAGTCACCCAGAGAATTATCTTCAGATGAACCTCCATGCAAAGCCCGGACATAGGCTGAGAATACAGAGGGGGGCATGGGGTAGTTGGGCAAACTGCCATAACCTTCTCTGGGAAACCAGCTCATGGGTTGGGGATGGCGTGCTGCACCTCTCTGAGGGACAAAGAACATTGGTGGTGCAGGAGGGAAGCTATTTATGTTGGGGGCAACAGGCCTGATGGGTAGGTATGGGACAACTGGAACCTGAGGTTGTGGAGCTTCCTTTGCCTTTTCCTTGTCTTTGTTATTGTCCAGGTGTGGGCTGCTGGTGGTAACTGTGGTCGGGGTTGGTTGAGTCTGAACCTGAGGGGTTGGGAGGTCGTCCATGACTGATACGACCTTACATGGAGACTCATCACGGTTGATGATGTCTATCTCAGCTGCATCGTTCATGCTCAACAGCGTGTGAATAACATGTTCAGATTGCCCAGAATGCAGCTCTGTGAAAATAAACATAAGTGAGAAAGTTGTGTTTGTTGTCAATTAATCAAATTATATAAATGCCACCAAAGATCGACATAAGAGATCAATCATGTTTACTCAGTAGTCTTTAGCCTGGGATCCAAGCTGAATATCACACCATGTCGCTGAAACAATAGTTATACTGATCAATATTCAGTTTGGATTCCAAGCTAGTCTGAATGTATAGATTTTTTGGCTCACCTTGTCTGTCAACTCTGTGCACCTCTCCTCTCCCCTTCTCCAGGTAGTCTCCCACTCTGTGCACCTCTCCTCTCCCCTTCTCCAGGTAGTCTCCCGTGGGAATGGCTCCTCGATCGGGCCAGGAAGTGGGAGTCTCATCATTCCTCTCTGGATGACATTCAAGACATTGTGAAAGTGCTGCTATTGGCTGCACTTGCTGAACAGTAAGGGACGGTTTCCCAAACACAGATTAATTTTAGTTCTGGCCTAAAAATCATTCTAAATGGAAAATCTCCATAGAAAGTGCTTTTTAGTCCAAGACTTAATCTGAAACCGCCCCTGAATGTCCTGATCATCACAATCATTACAAATGGTAAAAACATAGTAATCATTTTGTAAAATATATTTTCACTCCATTTCCTCTAAAATATATATGATACTACGTCATCATAGCATTTTGAAGAGAAGATCTCTGATATTTCATGTTAGATATTTAAATCCCCAGAAAGTAGAAGATTTGTAAAAAATAAAAAAAAATTGGATTTACCTGCGGAGAATACCTGTAGAGTAAGAAGGAGAGAGAAGAGCACTGCTCCTGTTAGTTTGACATCCATTGTCAAAGGAACATGCTGAGATCTGTGCAGAGGCCTTTTAAGACAAGGAGTGGATCTGTCTGTCTCACCGCTCTCTATAATTACTTTGATATTTCTGCACATTTTGATTTTTTATCCAGGTGTCTGGCTGGAACAGAGGTGTATTAGCATGTTATAATTACCTTCAGAGGAAATGGGAACAATAACACCTGACTCAGACTCATAGCTACCAGACAGTGCCATCATTATATTGTGCAAAAGAGATTGTGATAAGTAAGCTCAAATGATAAGTAGGGTCTAGTCTGGGGCAATTTATCTAAATTAAAAGGGAATCTCTATCTCACTCACTCGCTCTCTCTCTCTCTCTTTGACTGTGTGCGTATGTGTGTGTGTGTGTGTGTGTGTGTGTGTGTGTGTGTGTGTGTGTGTGTGTGTGTGTGTGTGTGTGTGTGTGTGTGTGTGTGTGTGTGTGTGTGTGTGGGAGAAAGAGAGAGTGTCTGAGAGAGTGTCTGAGAGAGAAAGAGAGAGAGTAGGGGGTTAGGGAATATGCACTCCCAGGGACACCATCAGACACAACATGGGCTGCATACCAAACAGGTCCCACTGTTCAGCTGGTCCCTATTGTGGACAGCATCTAGGTTCAATTGAAATTATATAAGCAGATAATATAAGCCGGCTAAACCCGTTATATAAGCAGATAATTGTGTTTAAAAATGAACACAGAGAAGAAAAAAATAAATGTGCATGAATCTTCTATTGTCTTGTTTTGTGAATTTTTTGCATGGAAAGAATGGCATGTTTGATACCTTATTTGTTTCTTTACGTATATATTTTAATTAATGTGAATGTTTTGAAAATAATCGTATATAGGTCAAATACACACATTTTACATAAAAGTGGCGGTGTGGTCAAATCTAATTCCCCTTTAAGAAATGTGACACTTGTCCTCTGATCAGCCACGTAGCGCCACGTCTAGGCGCTTGCGCATTGGCTAAATGTAACTCAAGTTCCGGGGTCGGGCCAGGAGGTTGTGTACAGTGTAAAAAGTCAACATTTAGGCGCTTTTACATTATTACACAAGACCCATCACGGCAGAAACCCTTTCAAAGTTTATTTAAGACTGTTGGAATTGCAAACAAATCTCTAAGAGGACGTCAAAGACAATGAATTTCTTCAGGGGAGTGATGGGTGGACAACCCGCGGGGCCACAGCCGACTGGAGCGGAGACGGTGAGAAACGAAACTCGGCTAGCATGTTAGGCTAACAAGCTAGCTAATGTCACACACAACCTGGTGGACAGAATCGTAGGACAATTGTGTGTAGTTAAACTTTAGTTGTGTTTATAGTTGCTAGACATGCAAATGTGTTCAATTTCATGTTTTCCAGGCTGAAAGACCGGTGTAGGCCTTGTAACGGTGCTCTATACAAATAGCCTCACGAGCACAGACAGAATGTGTCAATCAATACAGTGATTCACGGAAACATTTCTGCAGAGTTAGCTAGCTCAGCTGGTTAGCCTAATTGGCACAGGAGAACAATTGAACGGGTGTAGCCTGCTGATAGTCCGGAGCTGTCAGCGTTTTTTGGGAAGAAAAAGCTTGACATGACCGGCTGCCACTAAATGAGCAGATGTCTTCGTATGTGATAGTTTACATGCCTTGCATCCATCCAACTGTTTACTGTCATCTGGGAGATTATAGATGGCTACTTGGATTGCAGTGCACAAACCAAAAACACAGCCAAATTCCACATGAATCCATTGGTTGTGAATGGGTCTCCTGCTGGCATTCCTTTCATGGTGACAGAATGGGGAGGGACTGCGTGACGGTGATATATTTAAGTCCCTTCCCCGTGCCATACAGGAGAATGTGTGTGATATAAATAAATAATATGCCATTTAGCAGACGCTTTTATCCAAAGCGACTTACAGTCATATCTCAGGCTGCTATCAAAAGAAGGCATTTCAATCTGAATGGTGCATATGAATTAGTAATAGATAGAGATCTCTGTCTTCAATCAATCAATAAAATGTATTTATAAAGCGCTTTTTACATCAGCAGATTTCACAAGCACTTATACAGATACCCAGCCTAAAACCCCAAAGAGCAAGCAATGCAGATGTAGAAGCATGGTGGCTAGGAAAAACTCACTAGAAAGGCAGGAACCTAGAGGAACCAGGCTCTGAGGGGTGGCCAGTCCTCTTCTGGCTGTGCCGGGTGGAGATTATAAGAGCACATGGCCATTTAAGGCCAGATCGTTCTTCAAGAAGTTAATAGATGACCAGCAGGGTCAAATAAGAATCACAGGGGTCCTATCTTGTCAGCCTTGTCAGCAGGTGGCTAAGGATAACACCCACGCCATAGGTCTCTCAGTTCTTCCAACTCACGAGTTCTTGCCCTGAGGACACACACACACACACCCACACACACACATCATCACTGATAAACACACACACACACACACACACACACACACATCATCACTGATAACAAACACACACACACACACACACACACACACACTGATAACAAACACACACACACACACACAAATCCTCTTCTCTTAGGCTGAACATCTGAAGACAGAGAACCCGACTCAGAGCCAATGCAACAGTGACACTAGCCTGGAGGTGACCTCGCCCAACTCATCAGGACCAATCAGAAGATCAGAACTACTAGATTCAACCTACTTCATTTTATTGTATAAAATGTCAGCACACAATGTTTAGGGGCTCTTCTGATAAACTCCCTACGAGTTTGACGAACGGGTCCGTGCACGCGATTCCAGATATCTTTACCTCTGAATAAACTGCCTTATATTATACAATTATCCACCTTGTCCAAAAGTCTCTACTTGGTCTCCGTTCTCCAGTAAACTTGTTTTATCAACAATAGTAAGGTTCAATGACACAGAAAGCAGTTCAATGTCGGGGTACAGAGTCGCTCTCTTACCAGGATCGCGGTCCGCTCTGACCAGGGTGAAGCCGGCCGGCTCCACCTCTCTGTCCGGGACTCTGTCATCCAGCCAAGTCTCCCAGCTGTATTGGGATTCCGCTGCCAGCAGCGTTTTCATTATTTAGTCCGTTCGTAGCGGGTATGTACACGATCAACAAGATCAGTCCAAAACCGAAGATCAGTCCAAAGCAGAATGTTTGCAGAATGTTTGTAAACTAAGTCTACAAATTAAAAACATAAAATAACGCCACACTGCAGGTCGCAACATAGACGCTGTTAGCCGCCATTGTCTTAGTTACGTTCAACGTTACGTCACGTATGACGAAAGCGCGTAAGTGCATGCCCACAGACACCGTAGAGGGTGCAACAGGTCAGCACCTCAGGAGTAAATGTCAGTTGGCTTTTCATAGCCGAGCATTCAGAGGTCGAGACAGCAGGTGCGGTAGAGAGATGTTTGTCCTTCAAGGACAAACATGCCAACATAGGGCATGAGACAGCCTATAGGGAGGAGGTCAAAGACCTGGCAGTGTGGTGCCAGGACCACAACCTCTCCCTCAACGTCAGCAAGACAAAGAAGCTGATCGTGGACTACACGAAACGGAGGGCCAAGCACTCTCCCATTGACATCAACGGGGCTGTAGTGGAGCGGGTTCAGAGCTTCAAGTTCCTCGGTGTCCACATCAGTAAGGTCCTATCATGGTCCAAACACACCAACAGGCATGAAGAGGGCACAACAACGCCTCTTCCCCCTCAGGAGGCTGAAAAGATTTGGCATGGGCCCTCAGATCCTCAACGTTGCGCCATTGAGAGCATCTTGACTGGCTGCCTCACCGCTTGTTATGGAAACTGCTTGGCATCCGACCGCAAGGAGCTACAGAGGGTAGTGCGTACGGCCCAGTACATCACTGAGGCCGAACTTCCTGCCATCCAGGACCTCTATACCAGGCAGTGTCAGAGTAAGGCCCTAAAAATTGTCAAACTCCACTCCGGCCACCCAAGTCATAGAATGTTCTCTCTGCTACCGCACGGCAAGTCTGGAACCAGCAGGACCCTGACCAGCTTCTATCCCCAAGCCATAAGACTTCTAAATAGTTAACCCAATAGCTACCCGGACTATCTGCATTGACCCTTTTTTAAGCTAAATTTTTTGACTCATCACAGACACTGCTGCTACTGTTTATTATCTATCCTGTTACCTATTCACTTTATTCCTAGCTTTATGTACATATCTACCTCAATTACCTCGTACCCCTGCACATCAACTCGGTACTGGTACCCCGTGTATATAGCCAAGTTATCGCTACTCATTGTGTATTTATTATTACGTGTTATTACTTTTCTGTTCTTTTCTTTCTCTGCATTGTTGGAAAGGGCCGTAAGTAAGCATTTCACTGTTAGTCTACACCTGTTGTTTACGATGTGACGAATAAAATTTGATTTGACTGAACTTAGATTGAACACATTGTCCTGAATCTGCAGTAGATGTATGCCTATGTATCAGTACATGATTGCAGGGGGTGGTAGGTAGCCTAGTGGTTAAGAGTGTTGGGCCAGTAAGCGAAAGGTTTCTGGTTCGAGCCGGCAAGGTGGAAAAATCTGCTGTTCTGCCCTTAAGCAAGGCAATTAACTCCCACAACAACTGCTACTTGGCTGCCAATGACGTGGATGTCAATTATGGCAGCCCCCCGCACCTCTATGATTCAGAGGGGTTGGGTTAAATGCGGAAGACACATTTCGGTTGAATGGATTCAGTTGTGCAACTGACTAGGTATCCCCTTTAACATATTGTGTTAACCATGAATTATTTTGATTGAACCACAGATCCATAAGCTGTGTGACCGCGTGGCCTCCTCCACACTCCTGGAGGACCGCAGGGACGCTGTCCGAGCCCTCAAATCCCTCTCAAAGGTAGGAGACAATCACATTAGGCTAATCTCTATTGTTGCACCATTGTTACACTGTTGATGCACCTTTGTTGTGTCATGATTGTACCATTGTTACACTGACAATTGTTACTCATTATTTATAAATGCATGTTAAAGCATTGAGGCATCAGAGACCGTTTATGATGTCACACATGTAGCTTAGGCCTCGTCTAAATATGAGCTTTTCTCCTGTGCATTGTTTTAAGCGAACAGCGCTAGAGTTATCTTGATGTTCGTTATCTTGTGAGCAGGGACACATCCCCCTATCACCCCTCACGCATCCCCTATCACCCCTCACTCATCCCCCTATCACCCCTCACTCTATGTAAACATCCTCAGGCTCTATCTAAACAGCCTGGGATGGGCTGTGTCTCAATCCTCTTAAATCACCTCATTATCTCGCCACCTTTCCTCTTTACACTGATCAGGAAAGACAGACTGGGGAAAAGTAATGTAGGAATTCATGGGTTGCACCTCCGTCACTTGGTCGCATCGTTGCCATTGTTATCAACATTCTACAGATGCCGCAGCATCTGACTAATGGTTAAGTCTTTCTGAACTAATGTTAATGACTATTTAGTCAAATTTACACTAGAGTGGGCTGGAAATACGATGACATTGCTAAAGTAGACAAATAATTAGTAGAAAACAACTTTGCCATCATTATGATGTCGTCAAGTTGACTTTAGAGAGATGGCAATGTTGCCATGAGCTAGCAAAGTTCTTCAGAAATAGCTAGCAATGCTAACGTTAGCTAGCTAAAATTTGGGTGCTCTCGCTTCAATCTTAGCTAGCTAGCTAACGTTATACTGCATCTAAAGTCAATCTGGAGACATCACAATGACGACAAATACGTTTCCTACTAATTATTTGCCTCCTTTTGAGATGTAATCTGTTTCCAAGTCACAGTAATGCACTAGACAAAATGTTCATCACCCATTGAGACTGCATTGAGTAGAATGCTCAGTTGGGCATCAGTCCTAAAACGAACGTTCCAAACAGTTTTGTGAGGAAACGTGCAACCCATGAATAGGATGGAATAAGGAGGGTACCTATTGTTGGCTCGATGCGTTCACTGGTCCAGTTCTCTTTAACAAAGCACTGTTGAGAAAGAAGACAAGGAAAGGAAGCCACTTTTGAGTATTGACATGTTGAGTACAAACCTGACTAATTCCCTCAGTCCCTACTCTCTACTGTATTAAAGGTCTAGAGACCTCTAGGCTATAACTGACTGACTGGCCACTAGCTGCCTCATCAACCATGAGTAATGAGTTTATCAGGCATGAATAAGGAGTTTATGGGGAATGGGGTCACACACAGACAGACAGACAGACAGACCAGCCAAGGAAAAACAACCCTAGCCAGAGAAACACACCAGCTGGTGGTTGTTGAATTGCATTAGCTCTGTTTGGCCCTAGTAGGTTTTACTCAACGTTGATGACACAAGGGGTAACTAACCACACAGGTTTGTCTTATCAGATCAGAGATGTCACAAAGCAAACCACTGTTCTGTTATTTAACTCTGCTTTCAGAATGTATTGTACTAAGGCCTGTATTTTACCTAAGGTCATGTGTGGAGCTAAAACGTGTATTGTTCATGCAGACACAGGTGGACATCAACAGTTAGGGAGGAGCACTGAGGAAAAACAGGCATAGCTTAGAGTTAAAGCAAAAGTAATATCCTCTGATCCAAGGGCTGCCTAGGGGAAAACAATGATTTGCTGTTCTCCTGACTTGACTGTTGGTTTTGATTTGTAGAAATATCGCTTTGAAGTTGGCACTCAGGCTATGGACCACCTGGTTCACGTACTGCAAACTGACAGGTATGTTTTGTGTTTGTTTCTATGATTTAAGAGCTTTATTCCTAACCCTTGCCCTATGCTCCTCATTAGCACATTGTAAAAGTCTGGTGGGGTGATTTAAGGCGAGCGTTTTGTATGGTGCTCGGTCGTTGCTAAGAGTACTTAATATTTCAGGGACTTAGGGGATGAAAGCGGTGCTTGTTTTGTTGATATCCTACCCCTCCCATTTTTTGCAGGTCGGACTCTGAAATCCTTGGCTACGCTCTGGACACACTTTATAATATCATCTGCAACGACGAAGAGGAGGAACAAGGTGTTTAGGTGTTAAAAACCTAGTCCTCTTCTACAGAGGGTTGTGAACAGGCCCCAGAACTATCAATCATTTAGTATTTAGTCATTGTGGAGCCTCTATTTTTAACTGCATGTTCAAAAACACTCCACCTTTTTGGAAAAATGTTTTTGAATGACAACAAGAAAGCCCTATTCTAGTAACCATAGCATGTGTAATTGAGTTCAATTATTGCCAATTAATTGGACTTCAAATCAAAATGGACCCTGTCGTCCTCTTCCACACTCGCCCCATTTCTCTCTCTTTCTCTCTCTCTATTGATGTTAATTGCTATGTATGTAAAGATTCTCATCTCTCTCTTCTCTTCCATGTTTAAACTCTACAGACGAATCTGAAGGTAAAACTCTTGTTTGTGCATGACGCCCCCCCCCCAACCACTAGTGACGCTTCTTGTAAATGACATGCATCGTTCCTCTCCGTTGGTTGTTTTGCTCTCCTGTGGTGCACAGTAGGTTGTTAGACTGAAATGCAGCGCTTTGGCAGAATCAATGGAGAAATACTAGGGCTATATTTATGTCTTCTGTACGAGTCGAATTGTCTGACTCTTGTTCTGCACCTCATCACAGTGGGTAGAATTAAGGATATAGCTTTGGATGGGGCTTCAATCTCTTGCTCTCCCCCCTTCTTACAGACATGGCGGCCACACCCCCTATCCCTGTCTCAGGGAAGCATAAGAACATGCCTGTGTCTGGTCAGTAGTAGTACTGTAGACTAACTAGTACACAGAAACCTCACGGGTGTGGTAACTCTTACTAGTCAACTGAACTAACCTCACTAAAATGTGTTGGAATGGGAAGTATGGTTTAATATAGTAATGACTGGGGGGTAATAACATGTCACTAATACCACTCCTGCCTCAGCCTCTCTCCTGTCCTGCAGCATTTGTCTTCCCATTGCTCTTCTGCTTTTCCTCACAATTAGCATATGTAGTCAAACGCACATCACTCTTCACAGGGTGCTGGGACCAAAACGTTTTGGTTCTAAAAGAAGAATGTTAGATTCTAAAAGACGAATGTTAGATTCTAAAAGAAGAATGTTAATTCTAAAAGCATCCTCTTCCTCACAGTTCTACATTTAAACCATGTGGTGAGGTTATTCTAGAATTACAGATTGTCTCTATCTGGTTGTTCTTGGTGGGAAATATTTTATTTTGCCTAGAACCCTAGATAATTGAGTGTGTTGTGTATAATACGATGCTCCAGTACTTTTGTGTGCTTTTAGACTGGGTGTGAACCAATTCACTGTGCCCTACCACATCCCCTCTCGCTAACTCCTCTCCCCTACCCCTCTCTGGTGCTAGCCTACCACAACCCCCTACCATCAACACCCCTATCCCTCTTGCCCCCTCCGTCTCTCCCCCTGTCTGTCTTTCTCTGGAGCCTGTTCATGAGTAGGATTTTGAGTTTTCCCTGCCTGGTCACATGGTCAGGAGGACAAACTCCTGGTCCTATTCATGAGGGTCAGTCTGAACTAGGTACTGCCAGATTCACTAACCATTCCTTAATAAAGATCTATTCATACTCCAGCTCAAGTGATTTATAGATCAAAACATCTGTGCAGTGCCTCGGTGAGATTGATCTCTGAACAAGCACTATTCTATGACCCACTCCAGCCTTGCCCTGAAACATGGCTGTAGACTCCTATGTAGAGTAGCCATGTCTCATGTGGCAACTTCCGGCTTAACATGGCACACCCAGAGGTCTTTAAACCTTTGACCTTTGACCTTTTCAGATGAGAACGCCCAGAAGCAGGAAGAAGACCTGGGAGTCCTGTTCACTGACAAGTTCCTCGGCGACTCTGAGAACGTGACACTTCTACTGACTCTGTTAGAGGTAAACAGACCAGAGACCCAAACATCTACTTTGTGTGTTTATGAGAGCTAGTGGTCTCTAACCCATGGTCTCTGTGTTAACTAGACCTGGAGACCCATTGTGTGTGGTGGTTTACAGACCAACTGGCTTCATAATTCATAATATGAGCATAAGCCTAAAATCTGCTCTGCTTATATACAGGATTACAAGGGTGTAGTTGATTTCCCACCCTGCCTGTGACACTGACTCCCTGTCTGTTTCAGGAGTTTGACTTCCACGTGCGGTGGCCAGGAGTGAAGCTGCTCACCGCTCTGTTGAAGAACCAGTGTAACCAGGTCCAGGGCGTCATCCTGGTCAGCCCTATGGGTGAGTCCTCTAACAACTGACCTGGAAATCAGCTTGTTACCTGTATAAAAGACACCTGTCCACAGAAGCAATCAATCAATCAGATTCCAAACTCTCCACCATGGCCAAGACCAAAGAGCTCTCCAAGGATGTCAGGGACAAGATTGTAGACCTAGACAAGGCTGGAATGGGCTACAAGACCATCGCCAAGCAGCTTGGTGAGAAGGTGACAACAGTTGGTGCGATTATTCGCAAATGGAAGAAACACAAAAGAACTGTCAATCTCCCTCGGCCTGGGGCTCCATGCAAGATCTCACCTCGTAGAGTTGCAATGATCATGAGAACGGTGAGGAATCAGCCCAGAACTACACGGGAGGATCTTGTCAATGATCTCAAGGCAGCTGGGACCATAGTCACCAAGCAAACAATTGGTAACACACTACGCCGTGAAGGACTGAAATCCTGCAGCGCCCGCAAGGTCCCCCTGCTCAAGAAAGCACATATACAGGCCCGTCTGAAGTTTGCCAATGAACATCTGAATGATTCAGAGGAGAAGTGGGTGAAAGTGTTGTGGTCAGATGAGACCAAAATCAAGCTCTTTGGCATCAACTCAACTCGCCGTGTTTGGAGGAGGAGGAATGCTGCCTATGTCCCCAAGAACACCATCCCCACCGTCAAACATGGAGGTGGAAACATTATGCTTTGGGAATGTTTTTCTGCTAAGGGGACAGGACAACTTCACCGCATCAAAGGGACAATGGACGGGGCCATGTACCGTCAAATATTGGGTGAGAACCTCCTTCCCTCAGCCAGGGCATTGAAAATGGGTCGTGGATGGGTATTCCAGCATGACAATGACCCAAAACACACTGCCAAGGCAACAAAGGAGTGGCTCAAGAAGAAGCACATTAAGGTCCTGGAGTGGCCTAGCCAGTCTCCAGACCTTAATCCCATAGAAAATCTGTGGAGGGAGCTGAAGGTTCGAGTTGCCAAACGTCAGCCTCGAAAACTTAATGACTTGGAGAAGATCTGCAAAGAGGAGTGGGACAAAATCTGCTGAATTGTCTGACATCAGCCTGCGCCGACAACTGACCCAGAATCAGCTGGTGTGATTTAGATTTATCCTCTCAATATTTTATTTATCTCACTGGTGAAGTAGTAGTATGTCAAGAAGTGCTGGTCTTGTCTCTTTTATGCCCTAAAGCAGATTACCCTAATTAGCCTACTTGACCATTAGTATAGTTATTTTTTGACTGATTCGCCTGGCTGGTCTCTGAGTTATGTTGTTGTTAATGGTCCTTCTTTCTCCACTGCAGGTGTTTCTAGACTGATGGACCTATTAGCTGACTCCAGAGAAGTCATCCGTAATGATGTGAGTACTTCTCCTACTGACTGCTCCTTCAGATGGTCTTTAGTTGTAAGACCCGTAAGGTCACAGGAGCTAGCTACAGTCTGCTAGCTTACCTTTCTGGTGATACAAGACACTGGGACGGTTTCCCAGACACAGAAGTCGTCTTCGACTAAAAAAGCAAGTCTTGTTTCTGGGAAACCGGCCCAAAATCATACTAGCTGGTCTTATATCAAATCAAATTGTATTGGCCACATGCGCTGAATACAACAGGTGTAGACATTACAGTGAAATGCTTACTTACAGCCCTTAACCAACAATGCATTTATTTTGTAATAAAAAAAGTAAAATAAAACAACAACAAAAGTGTTGAGAAAAAAAGAGCAGAAGTAAAATAAAATAACAGTAGGGAGGCTATATATACAGGGGGGTACCGGTGCAGAGTCAATGTGCGGGGGCACCGGCTAGTTGAGGTAGTTGAAGTAATATGTACATGTGGGTAGAGTTAAAGTGACTATGCATAATAATTAACAGAGTAGCAGCAGCGTAAAAAGATGGGGTGGGGGGGCAGTGCAAATAGTTCGGGTAGCCATGATTAGCTGTTCAGGAGTCTTATGGCTTGGGGGTAGAAGCTGTTGAGAAGTCTTTTGGACCTAGACTTGGCACTGGATGGCAGGACCTCTATATATATGGGCTTGTTGTTTCTGTTTCTTTGGCTATATGACCACTAAATCAGAGCTACTTTGATCGTATACCCTCAGGGCTTGCTGTTGCTGCAGCAGCTGACCAAAGGCAACGCGGCCATCCAGAAGATTGTGGCATTTGAGAACGCTTTCGAGCGTCTCCTAGATATCATAACAGAGGAGGGCAGCAGTGATGGAGGTAAATCAATGGAGGAGTAGTGCCATATATGCATTCAAGCTAATTGGCAATCAATGGATCCATTTCTTAATAAATTACTTTTTATATGATTTAAAATGACATATTTCAGTTCATTCACACTGACCAACACCCACCCTTCATACTTACGCTCTAGCATATTGGCAATTCATCAATTTCTTAATAAATTAAATGTTATGTGTTAGAAAAATCAAATAATTTCACAAATGTCTTGACAAACATCCACCCTCCATCTTCTCTCTGTCCAGGTATCGTAGTGGAGGACTGTCTCCTGCTGCTCGTCAACCTGCTGAAGAACAACAGCTCCAACCAGAACTTCTTCAAGGAGGGCTCCTACATCCAGAGGATGAAGCCCTGGTTTGAGGTGGGAGACGACAACTCTGGCTGGTCCGCCCAGAAGGTCACCAACCTCCACCTCATGCTGCAGGTAGGACGCACCACACCACACCACAGACCTGACCTGATGGTACTTACATTTCATTCAGGGAGAATGGGGGTTTTGAGCCCTGAGGAGTTGACAGAGCAGTGTGATGGTCTGTTATGCTCAACTATTAGGGTCTGTACAGTTCACTGTGCGACGCATGGCCAGTATTGGGGGGGGGGTTCTGGTGTAGAGAATGTCGACTGTAGCACTGTCTCATCCTTCCATCTCTTCTCTGGTGCAGTTGGTGCGAGTCATGGTCTCCCCGGTCAACTCTCCTGGAGCCACCAGTAGCTGTCAGAAGTCCATGTACCAGTGTGGCCTGCTGCAGCAGCTCTGCACCATCCTCATGGCCACTGGCGTGCCTGCTGACATACTAACTGAGGTAACGTAGACGACTGTTGGAATGGACCAAAAACGCTTTCTATCGGTCTTTCTTTCCTTCTTTCTGGATTTGGTGAAAGCTACCGTCACTTATGTTATTGTGTTAGATCAGTGTCTCAGTATCTGTCACTGTCTCACTCTTTCTTTCTCCTGTTCTCCTCTCAGACCATCAACACTGTGTCGGAGGTGATCCGCGGCTCACAGATCAACCAGGATTACTTTGCATCTGTCAACGCTCCCTCCAACCCCCCAAGGTGAGTTCCACCAGACAGAGGACTGTAATCAGTTATAACACAGCCACAGAGTGGAGGTCATCTCTAAAAACACTATCCCCTGATCCCAGATCTGCCATGGTAGTGCACTAATATAGTAGAAAGGGTGAAATTTCAACACAAAAAAACTCCATTATCTGATCCCAGACCTGCCATAGTGGTGCTGCTGATGTCCATGGTCAACGAGAGGCAGCCGTTCGTGCTGCGCTGTGCCGTCCTCTACTGCTTCCAGTGTTTTCTCTACAAGAACCAGAAGGGCCAGGGGGAGATCGTAGCCACCCTGCTGCCCTCCACCATCGATGGTCAGTTCAGTTGCACTGAACCTCCAGACTGAATGTGTTGCTATTACAAAGCTATGACCACATTGTACAGCTGTAGATGGCATATCATGAATATATATATATATATATATATATACTGTAGGTTATTGCTTGTTGTTCTCAAGTAAAAAAAAGTATAGTAGAAAATATATAGTGGAAAAATATAGTGGATCGGAGGCATAAATAATCTTCATACAGTCATGGCCAAAATTGTTGGCACCCCTGAAATTTTTCCAGAAAATGAAGTATTTCTCACAGAAAAGTATTGAAATTACACATGTTTTGCTATGCACATGTTATTTCCTTGTGTGTGTATTGGAATAACACAAAAAAAAACAGGAAAAAAGCAAATTTGACATAATTTCACACAAAACTAAAAAAATGGGCCGGACAAAGTTATTGGCACCCTTTCAAAATTGTGGATAAATAAGTTTGTTCCAAGCATGTGATGCTCCTTTAAACTCACCTGGGCAAGTAACAGGTGTGGGCAATCTAAAATCACACCTGAAAGCAGATAAAAAGGAGAGAAGTTGACTCAGTCTTTGCATTGTGTTTCTGTGTGTGCCACACTAAGCATGGAGAACAGAAAGAGGAAAAGAGAACTGTCTGAGGACTTGAGAACCAAAATTGTGGAAAAATATCAACAATCTCAAGGTTACAAGTCCATCTCCAGAGATCTAGATGTTCCTTTGTCCACAGTGCGCAACATGATCAAGAAGTTTGCAACCCATGGCACTGTAGCTAATCTCCCTGGACGTGGACGGAAGAGAAAAATTGATGAAAGGTTGCAACGCAGGATAGTCCGGATGGTGGATAAGCAGCCCCAAACAAGTTCCAAAGAAATTCAAGCTGTCCTGCAGGCTCAGGGTGCATCAGTGTCAGTGCGAACTATACGTCGAAATTTGAATGAAATGAAACGCTATGGCAGGAGACCCAGGAGGACCCCACTGCTGACACAGAGACATAAAAAAGCAAGACTACAGTTTGCCAAAATGTACATGAGTAAGCCAAATTCCTTCTGGGAGAACGTCTTATGGACAGATGAGACCAAGATAGAGCTTTTTGGTAAAGCACATCGTTCTACTGTTTACCGAAAATGTAATGAAGCCTTCAAAGAAAAGAACACAGTACCTACAGTCAAATATGGTGGAGGTTCAAAGATGTTTTGGGGTTGTTTTGCTGCCTCTGGCACTGGGTGCCTTGACTGTGTGCAAGGCATCATGAAATCTGAGGATTACCAAAGGATTTTGGGTCGCAATGTAGGGCCCAGTGTCAGAAAGCTGGGTTTGCGTCCGAGATCATGGGTCTTCCAGCAGGACAATGACCCCAAACATACTTCAAAAAGCACCCAGAAATGGATGGCAACAAAGCGCTGGAGAGTTCTGAAGTGGCCAGCAATGAGTCCAGATCTTAATCCCATTGAACACCTGTGGAGAGATCTTAAAATTGCTGTTGGGAAAAGGCACCCATCCAATATGAGAGACCTGGAGCAGTTTGCAAAAGAAGAGTGGTCCAAAATTCCGGGTGAGAGGTGTAAGAAGCTTATTGATGATATCTATTGCTTAAAATCACTTTTTTCCTCCTCCCTCCATCTCTCTCCCTCCCCAGCCAACTCCATCTCGGCGGGCCAGCTGCTGTGTGGAGGCCTGTTCTCGACTGACTCCCTGTCGAACTGGTGTGCTGCTGTGGCCTTGGCCCATGCCCTGCAGGACAACCTGACCCAGAAAGAGCAGCTCCTCCGGGTGCAGCTGGCCACCAGCCTGGGCAAGCCCCCCGTCTCCCTGCTGCAGCAGTGCACCAACATCCTGTCACAGGTACGACACACAGAGAGAGAGAGAGAGAGAGAGACACGTTATGTGACACACACACACGTGCACAAGCGACTATGTCAGACCAACATCCTGTCACAGGTACGACACACAGACAGACAGATAGACATGCTAACGTGCTACGGGGGGGTGGGGGGGTGGGGGGGTATTCAGACTTTACCAAAGGGTTAGCACCAAGGCGGGAGAGAGTTGTAGGTGTAGCTGATCAAGAAATATTAGGTTGAAAACTAAAACTGCCATTTTGAAAGTCTTATCAGTGAAACATAAACAACAGAGTGGATGGTTTGAAAGGTGTCTCTGTCTGGTTGAAAGTATTGCCTTAGATTCAAGTAGTTGATCATTTGTCACTGCAGGTTTTCAGCTCACCTTGTCATTGGATGCGTCCCAAATGGCACCCTATTCCCTTTTATAGTGCACTACTTTTGAATAGGCTGTCATTTGGGACTCGACCATGATGTCCCACAGTAGTTGGGAGTGGTTCTCAGACAGTCAACCTGTTGCTTGTGTGTGAAGTTGCGAAGTGTCACGTAAGGTTGTTGTGGTTTTGCAGGGGGATAAGATCAACCGGAGGGTGAGTATCTGGGGTGTGGGCAGCACCTGTCTGTCATGGTTTGGCTTTGGCATCAGCAGGATCCTCCTATATGTTCCTTACGTTGGGGGTTACGTTTTGGCTTCTCTGTCCTGTTTTCGTGCCTCCAGCCCTCTTTGTGTTTGCCTATCTCACCCGTGTTTGTCGAGTTCTATACTGGTACTGGTACTGACCCTTCCCTTCCTCCCAACTCCCATAAGCCCCTGCTTTGACCCTTGACCCTCTTGCTGTGTCCGTTATATGGGGACTTGACTGTTGTGGAAGGATGCAGCAGCCACTGTGGAACTCTGTCTGTTCCTCTATAGATCTGTTGTTGTGAGAGGGGTTACATGCATTATTATTTTCACCACTGCTGTTTCTCCTCCTGTCCTCTAGGTGGCAGCACTATCAGTTATTAAACTTACCGTTTCAACTGGGGTCAAAGATTCTCCAATTAACATTTGTGATAATTTGTGTTCCCCCTTTTTTCTCCTTTGGCCCCCCCCCCTTCTCAAACATTTGGTGTTTTTTGCATTACGTCACCATTGGAGGCGAAATCTGAAAAGGTGATTTCCTTATGGTTTGATAGTATACCATGTCATTACTATTTATTGTCACGTACCGACCTCCATTTGGAAAGAACCCTCTTCTTTCTCACACCCTTCATCGCCCTTACAACAGGAGAGAGGTCTGCATTGCCACAAACATGTGTTGCCCCCCAAATTGCACCCTATTCCCTATATACTGGGGCTCTGGTCAAAAGTAGTGCACTATATAGGGAATAGGGTGCCTTTTGGCACACAGCCATGCCTGAACTATGCAGTTTAAGTGAGGTAACTTAATAGTGCCCATCACTCACTGCATATCATTAAGTCAGCAACCTTTTTTTCTTATGCCCATGGCAATGCATGGATACTGTAAAGCCATTTGATTATTTTTATTATTATTAGCTTTTGTGGTTGCCACTCCAAAACACAGAGGCTCTAGCTTTGCATGTGTTGTCAGCAACATTTTGCAGCCGTGCATTAACTTGATTATAGCTTTGTTCTTTTTGTATGTGAATGTGTAAATAGTCCAATAGTCAGATTTGGGCTCTTGTGGATTGTGTAGAGGATGACAAATGTGCCAATATGCTATTATATTCCTACCATGCCGTAACATTTTCATAAGTCCTGTTGTATCACCTGCTTAGCTAAACTGCAGAGGAGTTGCATCATTCTTTTGTGATACTGGTAGTGATGGTAACCAAGGCCGTTGCTACAGTAACAGTATATTGTGGAACACTTAAGGGTCCTGAAAAAGTGTTTGTTTTTAACGGAATCTGAACTAACTCGGGTTATCCTATGAAATGCATTGCATGGTTGACCTAACCTAACCCTGGTTTATTAATAATGTTCATTTAGATTTTGTCCCTTTTGTTGTATTTGAATAACTTTATTAATCACTAACGGTCTGCATTGAAGTCACTAACGTGGTACTCTTGAAACATTTATAACATGGTATTTCCTGCGTAACTGCCAGATACAATGTTTTCCCCCACAGAAAACTCACAAGGAAAAAATAAAGTTTGAAAGTTGACCATGTGCCAACAAAATTGCATACCATGGCATTTTTATTTACCAGCGCACAATAGTCCTTATATCAGTCTCAAAGTGCCATCAAGTTATATTATAAAGTTCCTATTCAACCGTAAACGTCCCGGTTGGGAATAGATTAGAAATGTGTATTCATTTTGTTGGCCCTTAAAATGCTGTGTATTTGGTTGGATTAAATCAAACGTGTCGTCCGGAGATATTCAGGAGACTGATTTAATTGGAACAAAATGAGACGCAATGACAAGTTGTCTTAAACAGAAAAATAAGACATGCCTCATTATAATATGGAGGGGGGGGGGGGGGGGCAGACGTTTGAATTGAACCCAGCTGAATGAATCTACTCTCCATGTTGAGGAGTTGTTCTTGTTCTGACACAGAGACCAGGATGTGGTCCAGGACTAGACTAAACCGTACATGAGTCCTGGATCACAGGCCATCATCAGGCTCTGTAGACAATGTTCATGTTCAATACCTTTTCTTTTACTCAACCCTATGCTGATGTTGCTGCGCTATATTTGTGAGTGTGTTTCTTAACAAGACTTTGGTGTGTGTGTGTGTGTGTGTGTGCGTGCTTACGTGTGTATGCATGCCTGCGTGTGTGTGTGTGTCATCCACAGGGCAGTAAAGTGCAGACGCGGGTCGGTCTCCTCATGCTGCTGTGTACCTGGATCAGTAACTGTCCCATCGCTGTCACACACTTCCTGCACAACCAGGAGAACGTCCCCTTCGTATCCTTCTTCAGCAAACCATCTAGCTCAACATCACTGTTCTATTTCAGTTGTCTGTTGCAGTTCATTTCACTCAGATGGCTGGAATATCTATGATTAGCTTGGTAGTGCAGTCTGTCCTTTAACCAACTCCTCTCTGTGTTCGTTCACCACATACAGGATAGTATTGTATTGGATATTACATACGTTATTCCATGGAAGTTCATGAGGCCTTATGTCTTGTGTTGCTAAGAGAATAAGAGAGATCAGCGCTACACAGTGGATGCCAATGTATGCACCAGTCATTGAGAATTGTCTTGAGAAAGGGGATTTAATGGCAACAAGGCCTATGTTGCTGTGACCCTTGACCCCTGGTGCCCTGTAGCTGACAGGTCAGATATCAGAGAACCTGGGGGAGGATGAGAGGCTGGTGCAGGGCCTGTGTGCCCTCCTACTGGGTATCTGCATCTACTACAACGACAACTCTCTGGAGAACTACACCAAGTAGGACATCTAACTACGACCCTCATAATAACTACACCAAGTAGGACATCTAACTACGACCCTCATAATATCGACACCAAGTAGGACATCTAACTACCAAGTAGGACATCTAACTGCAACCCTCATATTAACTACACCAAGTAGGCCATCTAACCGCGACCCTCATAATAACTACACCAAGTAGGCCATCTAACCGCGACCCTCATAATAACTACACCAAGTAGGACATCTAACCCTCATAATGCATCCTCTTTCACTCTCATACCTTATACTCTCATAACCGCAGTTAGAACTACATAAAGTATGACATCTGCTACCCTGATATTTTAACGCATACCCTCTCATACTACACCTGGGTTCAAATAGTATTTGTTTTCTTTCAAGTATTTGTTTGATTGAGCTTGGAACCAATATTAAAATAGCTCCAAAAGTCCAAAACCTATTTGAGCCAGGTTGTCTCATACACACAGCCTTTCTACACCTCTTCACCCTACACCAGCAGTTAGAAGCACACAGTGATGCCACTACAATGAGAACAACAACTATGAGCTGCCTCATTCAGAGGGGTTGGGTTAAATGCGAAAGACACATGTCAGTTGAATGCATTCAGTTGTGCAACTGACTAGGTATCCCCTTTACCCTTCCTTTCCTTAGCTTTAATGCTAACCCTGCCTGTCTTGTCCTCCCCCAGAGAGAAGCTGAAGCAGCTGATTGAGAAGCGCATTGGGAAGGAGAACTTTGTGGAGAAGCTGGGCTTCGTCACTAAACACGAGCTGTACTCCCGCGCCGCCCAAAAGCCCCAGCCGGTCTTCCCCTCCCCTGAACAGATGCTGTTTGACCACGAGTTTACAAAGCTGGTCAAAGAACTGGAAGGTTGGCAAACCTAACCTCATTACAACCATAACCTAATCTAAATACAACCACAACTTCAAGCATTTCGATGCACCTGTGATAATCTTCAAATCAGCGTACGCGACCAATAAACTTTGATTTGACCCTAACCCAAGTACAACCAGAACCACAATTCAGTTTGTGTTGCTGTCTTCTTTGCTCTTCTCTTGGGTGTTTTTACCACTGTGTTAATCGTGTGTGTGTCCATCCACAGGCGTGATAACGAAAGCGGTCCACAAGACGAGCGAGGAGGAGAAGAAGGAGGAAGAGGTGAAGAAGACTCTGGAGCAACACGACAGCATCGTCATCCAGTACAAAGATCTCATCAGAGATCAGGTAACTGACCTCACACACTATTAGGCAGAAGGCCGAAACCTATGCTCTGTTCCTTTTCTATTTTCATTGGCACGTTGCACTTTCACCTTTTCTATTCTTTTGAATTAATTATACTATAACCCCTCTTTGCGTTATTCCTTGTCATGGTTTTGAGTGCGAGTACATTTTGAACCCTACAGATGTTTTCTGTCCCACCAACCGGCTGCCTTTCATTCTAGCTTGTCCACAAAACCTCATACTGGCTTTCTACTCACACACACACACACGCACACACGCACACACGTACACACGCACTCACACGTCAGAAACCAACTCGCCATGCTTTCAAGCATCACAAGTTTATATACACCCTCTACCCTTAGTTTAAAGGCCGCGTGCAGTCAAAATGCAGTTGTACAACAGCTGATGAAACTTACACTGTAAAAGTATGAAAACATTTTATCAGTGTTATTTCCTGATAGTTTCCGGTTTAAAATACAGTCTGCACAGGACCTTCTAATCAGCAGGTTTACATGGGCGGGAGTTTCGGCATGACCAATAACGAAATGTTCCAAACCTCTCTGCCAATAACAGCTAGTTTTCAGTTTTCCAAACCACACTCGGACCACTAGCTAAATTCTTGCTTGAGGAATAGTTTTTGGCAAAAAAGTTATTTTAGTCAATTTTAATGGAAAACTATTACCGTAAGGTACACTCGCCGGTCACATCCACACAACCCATTTCATACAATATTCAACGGCCCTATCCCATTACCCTAAGAGGTCTAGTTGTGTGTTTTGGCCAATGTCTCTTGTCTTGTAAAGAAGTGTCTGTCATCTCTCAACCAGGACACGCAGATCCAGGAGCTGAGGGAGCAGGTGTCCACCCTGTCTCTGAACAGTGAACAGATGCAGACTCAGATCACACAGCAGCAGTCCCAGATCCAGCAACACAAAGACCAGTACAACATCCTCAAGCTGAAACTAGGTACTGTAGGCTAACCTGGTATTACACAGCAAAAAATTGCCTCTGAATCCATTGGAAAAGAAGAGCGCAACATCGTGCTTGGATCTATTGCTAATTAATTTTTTTGGGGGGGTGGGGGCTTATCAATGTAGATGTTCATCGTGTCAATTCCATGTGCCACTGTCTATAATGGTAGTTGAAATGGAGGTGTATTACTGATGCGGACTTGTTGCGACTGCACTTGTTGATGATAAATAGGATTGTAAATGTGATAATGACTGATTTGATGTGTGTTGTGTCCAGGTAAAGACAGCCAAGGTCTGTCCTCCAGCCAGGGGGAGGGTGCTCACGTTAACGGGCTCCACTCAGAGGAGCTGAGCCAGCTCAGAGAGGAGGTGGAGGAGCTCCGCAGACAACACACACTACAACACACACAGCTCAGCGAAAAGGACTCACTCATCAACACACTGGTGCGTGTGTGTGTTTTGGGGGGGGGGGGCAGATATCAGAAAAATCTCTGGGTTATCCCTCCCTGTGTTAAGAGTTCTATGTAAATGTAATGTATCGTGGATGTTTCTTGAATTGGACAAGATGGACCTGAAGAATGACTGACCGATTCATTCTCTTTTGTGGGTTAGTAGATCTGAATGGCGGTTGATGATGATATCTAAGTGCTGCTTTATCATTTCTGATAGGAAGTCTCAGCCGTTGAGCGCTTCCTGTTCTAATAGTTGTGATGTCTTGTAGAGGTGCGAGGCGGAAGCAGCACAGACAGCTGAAGGTGGAGCGGAAGGGTCCGACAACACAGCGCTTCTCAGGGTAAGACCCAGTCACAGACGGGACATGTGTAGAATACACATGAGTATAGTCATAGCCCACTGTATTCTAGAGACATTATACTGATGACTGAGTTACTGATGGTTGTTCCCACCAGGAGGTGGAGTCGTTGAGGAGTCGTGTCCAGGCTCAGTGTGCAGAGATCAGCCAGCTGCAGACAGAGAGACAGGAGCTCATCAGGAGAGCTGAGGCCGTGGTGAGAACTCACACCCAGCCATCACCATGTCTTGAGACGTCTTAAGGCTGTTGCATACAAACATGACCTTTCACACTTTACTCCAACTGTTGTTGACCCCCCCCCCCCCCAGACAGTTCTTTGGTCCATATTTCCCATTTTGTTATGCATGACTGTATATGTTATGACCACTGCACTTAGTACAGAGATGTAACTACTCACTCTCTCTCCTTCCCCCTCTCTTAGTCCTCGGCCCCAGCCCCCAGCATTGAGAGCTCGGCAGACACAGCTAAAGTGTCTGAACTGGAGAGCAGGCTGGCTGCTCAGACCACAGAGACAGAGAGACTTAAGGTACTGTACCATCACCAACATCTCTGTAGGTAGCTGCTGTCTGTTCAGAAGGGAGCAGCGTTCAAATACAAAGGGATTGAACAGGGGTACTCAACTCTGACCCTACGATGTCCGGAACCTGCTGGTTTTCTGTTCTACCTGATAATTAATTGCACCCACCTGGTGTCCCAGGTCTAAATCAGTCCCTGATTAGAGGGGAACAATGAATGCAGTGGAACTGGCTTCGAAGTTCTCAGCCAGGCAAATACAAGCGGGGTACAAAGCACACTATTGTTAAACAATGAGGGGTCTCTTTTGGCTTACTCTGGCTATGGGGACACTGACGCTCGAGTGACCGCTGCAATCGCAAGCAACATCTGGGCGGCCTATGACAAGAATGGGCATCAAGCTTTCAACGAAGACAAACTCAAATTTATTCTGATGGATTGCATGGAAGGCAGGGTGGCCATCACACGGGTAGCTAACCTACTCCTGTGCATGTATGCCAAAGAGACTGTGGGCTTTGGAATGCTTAAAGCCAAGGCTGAAGCGCTGGTACTGTACCTGGAGGAACCTTTAACCCAAGTTGCTGCATCATAGGGGAAGTCTGGCTGGAGTGTTGTGTTAAATTTTGGCCCCCCTGAAAATACATGAACTCTTGTTGCATATGTGAAGGCTTCACCTGGTCTTCATTAACCACCACAGTCTGTGTATGAATGAACAGAGTATTTATGTTGTGATTACTATATTTATACTCAATATGCTCTAACTTAATGCTTGAGTTTTTAGTCATTTGGCCTTTTGTGGCATGCAGTTCTAATTTGTAAGTCGCTCTGGATAAGAGCGTCTGCTAAATGACTTAAATGTAAAATGTAAATGTCCAGAGTTGAGTTTGAGGTGTATAGAACAGCCTGATGGTCTGTTTTGTAGAATAGAGGGTCATGTCAGCTCTATACTTACATTGCATTTCTATCTGAAACATTCTGAAAGTTTCACCTCGCTGAATAAACGTATTGAGTTTGCCTGATCGAGGGCTGCGTTTACACAGGCAGCCCAATTCTGATATTTTCTTTCTCCCACTAATTGGTCTTTTGACCAATCACATCAGAACTTTTCACATCAGATATTTTTCTGAGCTGATCTGATTTGTCAAAAGACCAATTAGTGAAACAAAGATCAGAGTTGGGCTGCCTGTGATATCACCCTATTAGTAACTGACTCCTGACCGTACCCAGCTAAAGGTTGGCTGAGACGTTGTGAAACCTCTCAATTATTCAACATCTTAAGTATGACCTTCGTGTATGTGGCCACTTCCTCTCTCTAATGCTAGTGGGGGGAAAAAACTTCTGCACATGATCATCCGATGCAGTTGAATTATTAATGTTTTTGGTCAGACGGCCATGTTGAAACCATGCACTTCCTTGTTAGCTGCCCTACCTCTCTCTCTACCTTCCTCCCCGCCAGGAGGAGTGTCGGGGCCTGAGGGAGGGACGTGCGGGGCTGGAGCAGCAGTTGGCATCGGCCCAGAGCACGGTGGCCATCGAGCAGACGGAGAAGACCAAGCTGCAGCAGGAGGTGCAGGAGTCCAAGAAGGAGCAGGACGACCTCCTCATGCTGCTGGCCGACCAGGACCAGAAGATCCTCTACCTCAAGCAACGTCTCAAAGACCTGGGAGAGACGGTAGGAGAAACCATCTGTTCCTATTGTAGTGTTCTCAAAATACAGATGATGGATCCTCCGTCTCAAGCAGAGATTCAAAGGTTAATGTTATTATTATGGTTTTAGTGGAGGTAGATGGTTAGGTTAGTTGGATGTTGAGAGGTTTTAGATTGATCTCATATTTATTTAATATTTCATTGTTACATGTTGGGCTGGTTTCCTGGGGAGCTGTGATGAGTCATTCTACCTGTGTAGTAGTTGAATGAGGACATAACTTGTCGTCCTAACCAGCTAGCACTACGTCCCTGTACTCCCTGTGTCCTAGTTAGAATGTGACCCTCTCCTTACAGATTGATGAAGAGGAAGAGGATGAGCTGGACGCCAGGGACCAATTCGATGACGATGAAGACGAGGAGGAGGAGGAGGAGAACAATGACTAGAGAGAGACTGATGAAAAAGAGATGGAGGGATGGAAATGTGGCAGACGAAAGGCAAAAAAGACATTACTGCATTTCTCTAGCCATGTTGTTCTAATACACTACTAGAAAAAAGGAGTAATGGGACTAGATGGATTTCTATCGCTCCATCCCACCATGCTACCTTGTTCTTTCTTCCCCCATCGCGTCATCCATTTTAATGTGTAGATTATTTTATTCCAAGATGGTGACAAAGAAGATCCACCCCCCCCCCAAAAAAAGGACATTCTCAGTGTGTTCATCTCTGCCATCTTCTACCACATAAACAGCCCAGAGAGACACTTCATGAATTTCAAGCCTTGTTGTTTCTACTACAGTAGCGCCATGTTAGGCCTATGCAGTTATCGATTCAATAACCAGGCTTAGTCTCATCTTTACCACGCACTGTCGCAACTCTGAAGAACGAACGCAATTAGAGAAAATAACATACGGCAAAGACGGACGGCTGTGTGGACACCAAGCAGTCGGGCGAACGGATGCCCTCTTTGACCGCCTCTTTCGTTACCATGGTAACCAGTTGAAGACCTGTAAGGGGCTTTGAGGCTCGATGTCCCCCCCCTTCGTATCTGTGTATACACTCTCACTCTGGGCACCAGTTCAGTTCAATACGTTCAGTCAGTGTTCTATTTCCAACATTCACAACTGTTTCCAATATGCTGCAACGTTCGCTGATGATAGAAAAATATATAAAAGAGATATTTTTGCAACTTTTATGTCAAGTCCTGACCTGACATCCAGCTTCTCTGTATGATTGTTGTGTAACTTATCGATTTATGAGCCACGTTGAAATAAATAAAATGATCTATGAATCTGTACAACTTGTAGGAATACTTTTGAATACTTACTGTACACTTTGATGACCGTTTTTACTAAATCTGTTTCATAGATGAAAACGTAATAGGAATTTTCCATTTCACTTCAACTGTATTTTATGTAATTTCACTGGTGGTATTAACTTAAGAAGTAGCTGAACTTTTTAAACCAACATTTAAATCAACTAAACTACTAAAGTAGGTATATGAACCCACGGGGCTGGTTTCTGCCTGTTATTTTAAAGACTTCTAGAAGTTTCCTCATATTTTTTCCTATTGGTTGTATACATATTACATTAGCCTTGTACCTTGGTGAATGCTTTGCGTAAAGACATACTGATTCTGAATAGAGACATTTGACCGTAATTGTTGATATAAGAAATATCGACCATCCATCTGGGTTCCACTTTGAAGCTTTCGGTGTTTGACAAATGAGATATAAAAATTGATTTAACTTTATAGCTCTAATGAATTTCACAGTTTTAGTGTGAAGCGCTTTAGTAAAATGCTAAGCTAGGAGAAAATGGCCTGAAATCCAAATTGATGTGCTCTGTTTCCCCATTGAGCATATCAGTTAGGATTGCAGGCTAAAGATAAATACTACAGTACTTCTATATTTGCAATATGGAGTTTCTATTGCATTACTGGGGAAAGAATGGGAAAAAATTAGCTTTTGCCCTTTTTAAAGGTTCTCTTGCAATATTGAATTTCAGTAGCGTTTTTTTGTTGTTGTTGTTGCTTTCAGACAAGTCACAATGACATCCAAATCTAGACCCCTAATTTGAACAGTGCCATTGTTTGTGTATGGTCTCTGCATAAAGTTTCAGTTTTTGATTAACTGCACCATTGTTTCCTTGTTTTCCCTGTTTTGTTTCTTTCTTGTTTTCCTTGTTTGGTAAGATACTAGACCCTCCCTTAAAATAGATATGGTTTAATTTCCAGTATTGGACAACACAGATTCTTTAGAATACCACACCCTTCATACCTCACATATTTTCAGTCAATTGAAACTTCATTAGGTTCATTTTATATAGGAAGACCTCATCCAGCCTTAAACCATCAGTATTTCAGTTGATTGATAGACAATTACGTTCATTTCATATGGGAAGACTTCATCCAGCCTAACCTATCCGTATTTCAAATACTGGCCCGCAAAGTGTTGAGGGGAATGCTTCCTGGAAGGCTTCCTGGAAGGCAGATGATAAGACGATCCACGCCTGGTTCTGGTGAAGGTGAACCACGTGCTGCCTGGAGGCTCTCTACTCTCCTCTTAAACTGTAAACACTTTCCTGCCATGTTTCCACAGCGCTGGGCCCAGTTGCCAAGGCAGGCAGCAGGCACACTCCCTGGCTTTCCAGCCCAATGACTCTGAGGACTGGGTGAATGTAGCATACACACACACATATATTACACACACACAGGCTGAGGTTTGACAGTAGTACTGTATTTTCTCTGCAGAATGGTATTTATTATGGTGGGAGAGCAGTAGGTAACAGGATGATATAAGGATTCAGGTCTGCACAGTGATTGGTGTGCTAAATTTAGACTGCGTTTTCATAATACCCAAGAAACATGTATAGTCATAACTGTGTAGTCATAAAACAGTATTGTAGGAGGGAAGTGGGCAGTACATTGACCAGGAGCAACTGGATGAACAAGTTGATGTTGAACATATTTTAGAATGGAGACTATTCCAACACTTTCTCTTCTTTAAGCTGTACTGTATCAGCGTAATTAAATTAATAAAACAACTATGGTTGTTATGTAATAGTGTTATTGTAGTGTGAGTGTCATACCCCCCCCCCCCCCCAGTCTTTGAGACAGCTAAGGCCTAGATTTGAAGGTCCTTTAAAGTGGTGTGATATGGAGATCTTTCTTATTTCACTTTCCTTGTCATGTGGTCTGCATGGTTCGGCCGTTCAAATGATAGTGTTGATTAGGGGAAAGGTAATGCCATCCAAATCATGTTTAAGAAATACACAAATGTTTATTAAGTTAGAAATGACCCCCCGGTGTTTGTGAAAGTGTGAAAAAGGACACGTATCATTTTCAAATGTTCTACCAGCAAATTATGGCATTCGCTACAGAGGATATTCCATACCTTAGTATGTAGGTAAATCATATTTTATGCACTACGTACAATAGCACTTGGGTATATTTTTATGACAAGAAACATTACTCTCTACGGTAGAGGGAGAGAGAGAGAGACTAAGTTCAGCCTTGATGCTACAGAGAGGCGTTTTAAATCAAAATGTTTATTGTGCAGTATGAACCCAAGAACACACCCAATAAATATGACATCATTATGATTGTGTTCCTATGAGGTAGGTGTTGCATGTTGAGTTATTAGCTGTTACTGAGCATGACACTACCATTCACAATTTTTACAGCCCATAATTTGATCCTCTTGGAATAACATGCATGGCTGTTGAGAAATAAATGTTCATGCACAGTAACACACAATGAACAGTTGTTCCATGATACATTCCATATTTGAGTGTGTATATACAACCCCCTGTGCCACATTGACAACATCATACAAGTGATGAGCACTTCTCCTACCTACATGAGATGTTCTCTGACACATGGGACAAGATAATGATAACCCATACATGTGTTCTAGGTCTAGTCTGTGAGGGTTGTTCCCTGCTCTAGACTACCTACCTATTATCACCCTATTCTTTGTCTCTGAAATGTTCCCCTCAGGGTTCCCTCCCTCTGTTCATAAATTATCATGCAGTTACAGTGTACCTCCACTTGGGGGAGACAAAGCTTCTCCAGCGCGTCACTTGTTTGTATAACATGGATTAGGATGACGGATGTAAACAATACAGTATGAATGACTGTTACATCAAATGAGATTATGACGATAATTTATTTGTAAGAGACGCTTGAGTAAGTAGGTCTGTAATCCTATCAATTGTATAGTTGCAGATGTTAAATTATTTTTGAATGCATAGGCCTTGTTACAAAGGAACATCAACGGCAGCATACTATTTCTCACCTTGTTACAATTACAGTGAAAGTAATATTTTATTGCACCTTTTCTAGTGGCTAAATTTGTATTTATTAGAATCTCCATACTCTTCCTGGGGTCCAGCAAAATTAAGGCAGTTATACAATTTCAAAAACATTACAATACATTCACAACAGATTTCACAACACATTAAGTGTGTGCCTTCGGGCCACTACTCTACTACCACAAATCTACAACACAAAATCCATGTGTACGTGTGTGTATAGTGCGTATGTTAAATGACTCGAATAAATTCCTTATATGGCCCAGGCATATATGTTGTGTGTTGGAAGACATCACTGTAACTGGTGCCAGCATCCAGCCAGCATTGACCCATATTAGGGAATTACTTTACAGTAAATACTTGTTTTTAGACGCTTCACTGGATTATATGCACTATGATCGTCCTGTAGCGCGCGTATGCCACCGGCCATTTATAGGCTACAAAGCGCGTTCCAATGAAATAACGCAAATGTCAATAGCTTTAATGGTGTTAATGTAGTGGTGCTCTTTACTTGAGTGTGACCATATTGCTTAGCTGCCTGTCATTGTTTTTAAATATCAATGGCCCTGTGAGGTCACAGCTACGTCGCCATCCATAGGGACCGTCCACGATTGTTCCCGGTGTTACCTTATAGCACGTGCTCTATGCGTCAATAAAGGGGTCCCTTTTTAAACTGGCCACGGTGGACCGAAGGCGAGCAGTCTGTACATTGCAAGGCAAAGTCTGACCACGACTTTGGGACGGTTCGCCAGAGGACCAGACGACTGAGAGAACTACAATAGCAACCCCACTCTTTGTGGGAGAGAGGGCCCCTCTTCTCCCTTCCCTCCGCGGCTGTGAACATCGCTGTCTCCACTCCACCCCTCCAAGGTTGGGTTCCGCAGCGCTTTACCTCGCTTTTCTATTTTTTTCATCACTGCGGTGAGTGTGTGTTTGGGAAGCCTGTGAGCTCACACAGAAAGACCCTTATGGTAACCGCCTCAATCAAGCCGACCGTCATGATTTATGACCGTCATACAGCTGACATGTAAATCGACTTGCCAGCCGGCTATCAAAACCGAGCCAGACATTCAAGACATAGGGCAAATTAAGACACCCGCCGCAAGAGAAGCACTCCACCATCCATCCACGT